GGAACCATTGAAAATCGGGGAGTACTGGACAACTCTTTCGTTCTAGTATGGGACTCCTGAGCATTTACCGAGAATATACGGTCTTCCCAAGATACATAAAGCAGGAATAACTTCACGTCCTATATTGGCAATGTCGAACTCCCTATACCATGAACTTGGTCGACGGCTTGCACAATTAATTGAGCCTATCAAGAAAGAGCTGGCTGTCCATACTTTGAAGGACAGTTTTGGATTTGTTAGTAGGACTGATAATATTAATGTAAGCAAAGATCATATTGGTTTCTTTCGATATTTATCCTACTTAAGACTCGTCAGCTGGATGCACCTGCACTCCAGTGAGTGATGTTGTTCCCAGTGAAACTCGAACCACGTACCCATCGCTTCAAACAACAAGGCGTTATCCACAAAGTCACCGAGGCATAATGGCCAGGTTTTTTACAACGGGTATTAGTTATAACTATTACCGGGATAACGCTTTGACGTTTGAAGCGATGGGCATGAGGTTCGAGTCTCACTGGGAATAACATGACTCACTGCGCTGAAGATGCATCCAGCTGACGAATCTCAAATAGGAGGAAACGCGCCTCCTGGATTCCTCTTCTAGTCACAACCAGGTAAATTACCATTGTATAATATATATTAATTCATATTCGTTTAATCTCGGATTTGTTGAACTGTAATGTTAATAACGCAGCTGGTTGCCATTACCTTTTTCAGAACAATTACTCAACGAATACTGATATCATCACCAAAAGACTATTGAGTGAAGTAGTTTGTTAAGTATTCGGATGAATTACTTCGAAGAAAGTCCAGTGCATCTAACTTGAACAGGTTTCAGAGATCAGCTGCTTTAAAAATTACTAGTCAAAACATTTCATTTTTAATTTTAAGGTTTATGGAAATTGACTGACCTCAAGGAAGTACTCATCAGGAACCGACATCACTTATAGAACTAGTGAAAACCGGAGGGAAGTTCACTACTAAAACGTCCTGTATTAGAATGAAACAGCTGTCCAATGTTCTTATGTTTTCAGTGGTGTCAGTTTGTGATGAATAATATCTTCAAGTCATTCTCTTTTATAACCGGAGTGATTTCTGTCTGGTCTCTCCCCGTTGATTTCTTCAATGGTTTGTGAAGAATAACCTGCTTAAGTACACGGCATAAATAGGCTTCCTAGTAAAAAGCATTTGATGGAAGAAGAAAAATAAGTGGTACTTTGTAATGACTCAATTTTTTCCATTGTGTTGGTTCCGATATAAGTAATTTATTGTTGTATTCTACTGATTGTCAACCTCGCCTGGTTAACTAGTTCACTAGTTACTAGCCGGTCATAAGCCCGGGTAAAGAGGGAAGGCTAAGTATACGGCTAGCAACCATACCCCGCAAAACAAATCTAACTGCTAAAGAAACTCCAAAGCACAAACAAAATATAAAAATTAATAACAAAATTATTTTTCGCCGGAATCGGAGAGGTGAAATGACACCAGTTGGTGAAAGCCTTCGGAAAGCCAATTGGCCGATGTGTCTTCTCTCGATGAAAGCGAAAGTAAACGTGGGGACATGGAATATCCGTACGATGTTTGAACCCAGTAAGGCAGCCCAGATTGCAAACGGGATAAGGAGGTATCACATTGAAGTGCTTGGAATATGCGAAAGCAGATGGAATGGGAGTGGACTCTCCAAACTGTCAACTGGAGAATCAATAATCTACTCCGATATTGTCACCCAGACGACAACCACGAGCACACTGAGGGAGTGGCTATCATGATGTCCTCAAGAACATCGAAGGCTCGCATGCAGTGGGAACCAATCTCCTCCAGGATCATGACAGCAAGGTTCAACTCAAAAGGAAGGAAGGAAGGTCACAATCATACAATGTTATGCACCTACAAATAATGCAGAACAAGAGAAAAAGGAGGATTTCTACAGACAACTTCAATCAACACTGGACAAGACGTCAGTTGGCGATATCAAAATTCTAATGGGCGTGACATGAATGCCAAACTGGGAGGGGACAACACGGGAAGAGAACTAACCGTGGGTCGAGAGGCGCTAGGTGAAATGAATGAGAATGGAGAATTGTTTGCAGAATTCTACGCATTCAACGATTTGGTGATTGTAGGCAGTGTGTTCAGGCACAAAGATATCCACAAAGCGACATGGATTTCACCAGATGGACACACTAAAAATCAAATCGGCTTTATCTCAATCTCGAGAAAATGGAGACACAGTCTACTTAACACAAGGTCAAGAAGATGAGCAGATGTAGGTTCAGACCACTCACTGTCTAATGCAAGGAACCTTCCAAATCAAGTTAAAAGCCTTGAAGGAAGCTGGTGATAGACCTCAATTCAAGTACAACACTCGGAAACTGAAGGATGAAACTACTCATGAAATCTTATTTTTAGCCATCAAGATAAGATGGGAGATATCGAGGAACATCACTGAAGAAACCTGTGTTGAAGAACACTGGAAGTCTTTGAAAGCTATGTGGAAAGAAACCTGCATAGCCGTATTATGAAGGAAGAAGAAAGAAGACAAGGAATGGATCTCGATGGATACATGAAATCTGATAGAGTAGGGAGAGGAGGTTGGTGAAGTATAAGATAAACCAGTGCAAGCATGCTCAACGACGAGAAGAGGAACTGAGCACAATGTATAAAACACTACACTGGACAGAGAAGTGAAGAAGAGTGCACGGAAAGACAAAAGACACTTCTACGAAACATTGGCAAGTGAAGCAGAACAGGCTGCAGACAGGAGAGACCTGGTAACATTGTATCAAATAACTAGGTGACTATCTGGGAAGAGATCAACACAGATGAAACCAATAAAAGATGATGATGGAAATGTAATTACGAAAGAAGAGAAACAGAGGAAACGATGGGCCTACCACTTCAAGAAGCTCTTGAATCGACCACCACAACCACCTGCACTTCGTCCAGAAATACCACCTGCAGCCGCTGAACTACAAGTGAACATAAATCCCCCAACGAAAATGGAAGTCGTGAACGCCATAAAGCTACTGAAATGTGGGAAAGCAGCAGGAACAGATGGGATCCCACCAGAAGCAGTGAGAACAGACGCACAGACAACAGCGGACATGCTCACACCACACCACTATTGCAGAAGGTGTGGAAGGAAGAGAAGGTACCTGTCTATTGATTGGAAGAAGGGTTACCTTGTCAAACTGCCGAAGAAGGGAGACCTCAGTGTTTGCAAGAACTGGCGCGGAATCACTCTCCTGTCCACCCCAAGCAAAATGTTAGGCCGCATCATCCTGGAGAGGCTTAAAGATGCACTGGATTCAAAACTACAACCGGAACAGGCAGGCTTCAGGAAGTACAAATCATGTGCGAACCAAATTGCAACTCTACACTACGCATCATCATAGAACAGAGCATAGAATGGCAGTCAACTCAACTCCACCTCAACTTCATCGACTTTGAGAAGGCTTTTGACAGCGTCGACCAAGAAGTAATTTGGAAACTGCTTCACTACTACGGAGTACCGCAAACCTTTATCAGACTCATTCAACAACTATATGAAGATGCCACATGCCAAGTAATTCACAATGGAAAGCTTACAGTGATGCTTTTGAAGTGAAGACAGGAGTGAAACAAGGTTGCCTACTATCCCCCATGATATTCCTGATTGTGGTGGACTGGGTCATGCAGCAAACAGTGGGGAGCGAGAAGAGGGGGATACTCTGGCTGGACTGCGGAAAAGAACCTAGAAGACTTGGATTTCGCCAATGATGACTTGTGCCTGATGTCACACAAACTTGAAGATCTACAGGCAAAAACTAACAAGTTGATAGAAGAGGCAGCGAAGACAGGACTTCAGGTGAATATAGAGAAGACAGAGGTGATGAAGATACCGCACCAACACCAACAACAACAACCAACTCCAATCACCATCAACGGGAGAAACTTAAATGAAATAACCTTCTCCACCTATCTAGGATACACTATTTCAACTGCAGGCGGCACAGACGAGGATATCAAAGTCAGAATCGGAAAAGCAAGACAGGTGTTCATTAAACTGAAACCAGTGTGGAGATCTTCTGCACTCAGCATGCGGAACAAGATACGGATTTTCAACACCAACGTCAAGTCAGTGCTTCTGTATGGTTGAGAGACTTGGCGTGTCACGAAAGGGATTTCCAATAAACTACAGACATTCATCAACAACTGCTTACGCTGGCTCGCTACTGAAGATCAGATGGCCAGAAAGGATAAGCAACAAGGAGGTCTGGGAACGAACCAACCAAGAACCTATCACCCAACAAATATGCAGGAAGAAGTGGAGATGGATTGGCCATGCACTGAGAAGGCCGACTGAGGACATCACGCGTCAGGCCAGTTGCTCGAGTGGAATCCCCATGGGAAGCGACGAGTTGGGCGCTGCGAGGGTGACATGGAGGAGGTCGTGCGAGGAGGAAATGAGAGGTTGTGGGCGGTCGTGGAACCAGGTTCAAAAGATCTCAGAGAACAGAGGTCACTGGAGACGTGCTACTGAAGCCCTATGTTCCACTAGGAACCCAAGGGACTAATAATATAAAAAAATAATTCTACTGATTGTCAGTTGAATATGAATGAATGATTACTGTAGGTTAAGATTAATTTTCCGTAATTGACTGATACTCACAAGCCATCTGTCGTTGTCTATCTAAATGCTTCGATTAAGGCTACAAAGTAAATATTCCCTTGAATTTTCTTGCTTTAAAATAATCCCCTTAAAGAAAAGTATGTTTCAGTAATGCGAACGAAGAAGTCAATTAATAACGTTTAATAGAGTCTATACAGTTGTGGGCAGTTATATTTTCAACATTCAGACATTACCTTAGTTTAAATGACAGAAGGTTAGACTGTTGCCATTCTAAAATAATTTGTATAACATATTTCCAGTCTTTTCTCCATTTAAACAGCAGTAATCCTTTAAGTAGACATATTCGATAAGCTTTTTCAATCATAAAAATATATTTCTGAGCATAACAGTCCAGTCTGTTATTTTTCAAACAGCAGAAAGGAAGAGAAACTACTCAGTGGATTAAAGTACTTTCGATTATGATTGGATGGATATAATAAAGGTTTTGAGCAGTTTAGATGTGAGTATGCAAGCTTAGAAAGAAGTTAAGTAAAATTATGTATCTAAACTTTCTGAAGGCTCAACAAAGTCACTGACAGCTTATTTCTTGAACTAGTTCAATTACTTCCAGAAACATTGCTCAGTATACGAAACTCTGACTAAGCTAGTAAGTTTGTTAACAGCTTAGAGAAATCTGATTTCTGTTCATATTACCAACTTGTGCAAACTACGTGATACTCAGACATGGTTTACGTATTTCACATTCCAGAAAAAAAATGTGCTGAAAAGGAAGTATTGATAAAATCCCGTAAACGGTTATAAGTTAGCATGCCAAGTAAATGAATTGTGACAACTGTTTATTGATATTTTTATTTCCTGTCGCTATACTGGTTGAATTGTCTGACCTTAGTAAATGGGATCCTGTGCGGATGCCTGCATACTGCCTGGATATTAATTTTGCGTTTATCTACTTGTCGATAGGCAGTGGAATCCAGGACACGCGTTTTGTCCTGTCTAACCCTAGTGAGTGGTGTTCCGCCTGAGATATGGAACCGGTAGTCATCGCTTCAAACGTCCAATCGTTATTCCCTAGGCCAATAGAATACCACACCCACCCTGTGTACAACAGGTATTAGTTATTGTTCATCGATATTTTTAGTTTTCCGTTGCGAGAATAACTGGTTTTGCGAGTTGAACCGACTTCATAAATCTATGACTTCTCTATTTTATCAACAAACTCAATACAGGCATACAGATGGTTGAGTAACGCGGTACGAATTATTGGTAGGAGATTATTAATAAACATATATATCAAGGTTGCTTGTACATGCATTAATATTAGTAGTCATTATGAAAGTTTGAAATAAAAAACACCAATATTGCTGAGATCATTCAGTAGATAGACAAGTTCATGTATTTCTGTATTATTTTCAAAACTATATTACTAATGTTGTAAAAAGTAATATCAATAGGAATGATAATAACAACTGTCCAGCCATTAACATAGAACGTCGTAAAGGATCTATCAAAAGGATTGAACTTGTGTTAGTTAGAAAACTGCTTCCAAACACAAAAATTTCTCCTATAATGTACTGTTAGTATTATTATTTAGGTAGTAAATTTATTGATATTTTTATAAAGCATTTCAAACACACTTCAATGATTAAGATAGTGTAACCATGGTAAGCGGCATTAAAAGAAACTTTATTGACGTGAACATACAGACGAAAAGCAATGCGGTTGAAGTTAAACGATGTTTTCATTACATATGTTTATTCGTTTGTCGCTAAACCAGCAGGACCAGATGAAATTCTGCTAGAAACACTGAAAACAGACTCAGAGACAACAATGGACATGCTCACACCACTTCTGCAGAATGAAGGAAAGGTAACTGCCTATCGATTGGGAGAAAGGCTACCTTGTCAAACTTCCAAAGAAAGGAGATATTAGCCTTTGCAAGAACTAGGGTAGAATCATACTCCATCGCTGTCCACCCCAGGCAAAACATTATGCCACATCATCCTGGAAAGACTACAGGATGCGCTGGATTCAAAACTACGACCGAAACAGACTGGTTGGCTGACTGGCCTCAGGAAAAACAAATCATATGCCAATCAAACTGCAACGCTACGCTCCGCATCATCATAGAACAGAGTATAAAATGGCAGTCAACTCAACTCCACCTCAACTTCGTCAACTTTGAAAAGGCCTTTGACAGCGTCGACCAAGAAGTAATTTGGCAGGCAGCTGCTTCAACACTACGGTTTCAGTGTCACAGACCCTTATCAATCTCATTCAACAACTATATGAAGACGCCACATGCCAAGTAATTCACAATGGGAAGCTCAGCTCAGTGATGCTTTAAAGTGAAGTGAAGACAGGAAGGAGTAAGACAAGGTTGCAGCCTACTATCACCCATGGTCTTCCTAATTGTGGCAGACTAGATCATGCATGAATCGTGAACAGCTGTGAGATGTACATACGCTTGCTGGACCGATGAGGAGACCCCAGAAGAAGATTTGGATTTCGCTGCCGATGATGATTTACATCTAATTTCTTATCCCATAAACTCGAAGATCTACAGGCGAAAACTAACTAAAATATTGAATTAGGAGACAAATAAACTGAATGCTATTTCCCCTAGAATGTTTCACTTCACAGTGAAGTTATTGTCTTTCCCTTTATTGGCTCTATAGTAGTTCCAGCCACTTGAGTTGTTTAGTATATTGGTAGTCAACTGACTTTTGATGAACTGATATGAAAAATAAAAGTGTTGAATTTATAGCTGGAGTTGCATTTTGGAGATAAACTAGAGATTACTGATTATAAAACTCCCAACTTACAGTTGTGATTTCAGCTCGATTTATCATTTTGCATATATCAACTTATAAATATAGAGCTGAATGTTACCTCTCAATCTAGACGAAACCACATTTTATACTCGTTAGCACTCATCAGGTAAACATTATTATTATCTGTCCATTGGGTCACCATCTCACTCTGTTCTCTGCTGTCTTTTCAACCTGGCTCCACGACTGCCCACAAGCTTTCATTTCTTCCTCACACCATCTCCTCCTTGTCACCCTCAACTGGGACGCCCAACTCGTCCTTTCCCACTTGGCTTCCACTTTCAGAGTTGACTTATCATCTCACAATCAAGAAAGTACAGCAATTATCCTGACGAAAGACGTCTAAATTACAATCCTCTCTTGCTTCTGATGTGGTGCGCAGACAGTCATACTTTGCAAAAAGAAACAAGAATGTTTTTCACTTCTGGTAGTATAGTTGTTTACTTAACTTTTTATAGTCCTAAACCATTTACGAAAAGAGTCTTTGTTCAAATCAAAAATATACCTTTCAAAATCCATAATTATATCATATCTTCCGGTTTTTCAGGCATCTCAACAACAAATGCAATCGAAAATTGGATATTATTTCAATGATGGAAAACGAAAAATTGGTAAGTTTCTGTGCTTGATTGTTTCAATGAAGCAAACTCCTCTCGACCGACTGTAGACTGAATTTTAGAGATTTAGTGGATTGTAAATTTCAAAACTCACGTGATAATGTGATAATTTCAATTTATAAGTTTCATTATTATTGTGGAAAATATTATTATTATTATTAGTCCCTTGGGTTCCTAGTGGAACATAGGGCTTCAGTAGCACGTCTCCAGTGACCTCTGTTCTCTGAGATCTTTTGAACCTGGTTCCACGACCGCCCACAACCTCTCATTTCCTCCTCGCACGACCTCCTCCATGTCACCCTCGACACCAGCGCCCAACTCGTCGCTTCCCATGGGGATTCCACTCGAGCAACTGGCCTGACGCGTGATGTCCTCAGTCGGCCTTCTCAGTGCATGGCCAATCCATCTCCACTTCCTTCCAATGCATATTTGTTGGGTGATAGGTTCTTGGTTGGTTCGTTCCCAGACCTCCTTGTTGCTTATCCTTTCTGGCCATCTGATCTTCAGTAGCGAGCCAGCGTAAGCAGTTGTTGATGAATGTCTGTAGTTTATTGGAAATCCCTTTCGTGACACGCCAAGTCTCTCAACCATACAGAAGCACTGACTTGACTGACGTTGGTGTTGAAAATCCGTATCTTGTTCCGCATGCTGAGTGCAGTGCAGAAGATCTCCACACTGGTTTCAGTTTAATGAACACCTGTCTTGCTTTTCCGATTCTGACTTTGATATCCTCGTCTGTGCCTGTGCTGCCTGCAGTTGAAATAGTGTATCCTAGATAGGTGGAGAAGGTTATTTCATTTAAGTTTCTCCCGTTGATGGTGATTGGAGTTGGTTGTTGTTGTTGGTGTTGGTGCGGTATCTTCATCACCTCCACCTCTGTCTTCTCTATATTCACCTGAAGTCCTGTCTTCGCTGCCCTGCATCTTCTATCAACTTGTTAGTTTTTGCCTGTAGATCTTCAAGTTTGTGTGACATCAGGCACAAGTCATCATTGGCGAAATCCAAGTCTTCTAGGTTCTTTTCCGCAGTCCAGCCAGAGTATCCCCCTCTTCTCACAGCTCCCCACTGTTTGCTGCATGACCCAGTCCACCACAATCAGGAATATCATGGGGGATAGTAGGCAACCTTGTTTCACTCCTGTCTTCACTTCAAAAGCATCACTGAGTTAAGCTTTCCATTGTGAATTACTTGGCTGGCATGTGGCATCTTCATATAGTTGTTGAATGAGTCTGATAAAGGTTTGCGGTACTCCGTAGTAGTGAAGCAGTTTCCAAATTACTTCTTGGTCGACGCTGTCAAAAGCCTTCTCAAAGTCGATGAAGTTGAGGTGGAGTTGAGTTGACTGCCATTCTATGCTCTGTTCTATGATGATGCGTAGTGTAGAGTTGCAATTTGGTTCGCACATGATTTGTACTTCCTGAAGCCTGCCTGTTCCGGTTGTAGTTTTGAATCCAGTGCATCTTTAAGCCTCTCCAGGATGATGCGGCCTAACATTTTGCTTGCTGTGGGTGGACAGGAGAGTGATTCCGCGCCAGTTCTTGCAAACACTGAGGTCTCCCTTCTTCGGCAGTTTGACAAGGTAACCCTTCTTCCAATCAATAGACAGGTACCTTCTCTTCCTTCCACACCTTCTGCAATAGTGGTGTGGTGTGAGCATGTCCGCTGTTGTCTGTGCGTCTGTTCTCACTGCTTCTGGTGGGATCCCATCTGTTCCTGCTGCTTTCCCACATTTCAGTAGCTTTATGGCGTTCACGACTTCCATTTTCGTTGGGGGATTTATGTTCACTTGTAGTTCAGCGACTGGGCTGCAGGTGGTATTTCTGGACGAAGTGCAGGTGGTTGTGGTGGTCGATTCAAGAGCTTCTTGAAGTGGTAGGCCCATCGTTTCCTCTGTTTCTCTTCTTTCGTAATTACATTTCCATCATCATCTTTTATTGGTTTCATCTGTGTTGATCTCATCCTTCCCAGATAGTCACCTAGTTATTTGATACAATGTTACCAGGTCTCTCCTGTCTGCAGCCTGTTCTGCTTCACTTGCCAATGTTTCGTAGAAGTGTCTTTTGTCTTTCCGTGCACTCTTCTTCACTTCTCTGTCCAGTGTAGTGTTTTATACATTGTGCTCAGTTCCTCTTCTCGTCGTTGAGCATGCTTGCACTGGTTTATCTTATACTTCACCAACCTCCTCTCCCTACTCTATCAGATTTCATGTATCCATCGAGATCCATTCCTTGTCTTCTTTCTTCTTCCTTCATAATACGGCTATGCAGGTTTCTTTCCACATAGCTTTCAAAGACTTCCAGTGTTCTTCAACACAGGTTTCTTCAGTGATGTTCCTCGATATCTCCCATCTTATCTTGATGGCTAAAAATAAGATTTCATGAGTAGTTTCATCCTTCAGTTTCCGAGTGTTGTACTTGAATTGAGGTCTATCACCAGCTTCCTTCAAGGCTTCCAACTTGATTTGGAAGTTAGGTTCCTTGCATTAGACAGTGAGTGGTCTGAACCTACATCTGCTCATCTTACTCACCTTGTGTCAAGTAGGCTGGCTGCGACTCCACTTGCTTCACATTGAGATAAAGTCGATCTGATACTTAGTGTAGTGTGTCCTGGTGTCTGGTGAAATCAAATCCATGTCGCTCACTTTGTCGATATCATTGTGCTTGAACACACTGCCTCACTACAATCAACAAATCGTTGAATGCACAGAATTCTGCAAACAATTCTCCATTCTCGTTCATTTCACCTCACCGAGCACTTCTCCACCCATGGTTTGTTCTCTTCCTCTGTTGCCCCCCCCCCCGCCACGCAGTTTGGCATTCATGTCACCCCGCCCATTAGAATTTCGATATCGCCAACTGATGCAGTGTCTTGTCCAGTGTTGATTGAAGTTGTCTGTAGACTTCCTCCTCCTTCTCTACATCTGCCTTATTTGTAGGTGCACAGTGTAGCACTGTATGATTGTGACCTTCCTTCCTTCCTTTTGAGTTGAACCTTGCTGTTATGATCGTGATCGTGGATGAGATTGGTTCCCACTGCAAGAGAGATAGAGAGAGAGAGCCTTGGATGCTGTTGGGGACATGATGGTAACCACTCCACTACTCAGTGTGCAGTGTTCGTGGTTGTCGTCTGGGTGACAATGTCGGAGTAAATTATTGATTCCCCAGTTGACAGACAGTTTGGAGAGTCCACTCCCATTCCATCTGCAGATTCCTCGCATATTCCAAGCACTTCAATGTGATACCTCCTTATCCCGTTTGCAATCTGGGCTGCCTTACTGGGTTCAAACATCGTACGGATATTCCATGTCCCCACGTTTACTTTCGCTTTCATCGAGAGAAGACACATCGGCCAATTGGCTTTCCGAAGCCAGGCTTTCACCAACTGGTGTCATTTCACCTCTCCGATTCCGGCGAAAAATAATTTTGTTATTAATTTTTATATTTTGTTTGTGCTTTGGAGTTTCTTTAGCAGTTAGATTTGTTTTGCGGGGTATGGTTGCTAGCCGTATACTTAGCCTTCCCTCATTACCCGGGCTTATGACCGGCTAGTAACTAGTGATCTAGTTAACCAGGCGAGGTGGAAATATTACTATATTATTATTATTTGTCGCTTAGATTCCTAGTGGGACATACGGCTTCAGTACACGTCTCCATTCCACTCTCTTCTCTGAAAACTTCTGAACCTCGCTCCACAAAAGACCACAACCTCTCATTTCTTCCTCACACCATCTCCTCCATGTCACCCTCAGCACCCACGCCCAACTCATCGTTTCTCATCTGGGTTCCACTCGAGCAACTGGCATGGCATGGCATAGCCTGGTCTGGCCTGGCCTGGCCTGACGCGTGATGTCCCCAGTCAGCCTCCTCAGTGTATGCCCAATCCAATCCAATCCATCTCCACTTCCTTCCAATGCATATTTGTTCAGCGATAGATTCTTAGTTGGTTCGTTTCCAGAGCTCCTTGTTGCTTATTCCTACTATTCTGTTCATCTGATCTCCATCTTCAGCCTCAGTATGGAGTGAGCGTAGGTGGCAGTTGTTGATGAATGTCTGTAGTTTGTTGGAAATGCATTTGGTGACGCGCCAAGTCTCTCAACCATCACATAGAAGCACTGACTTACTTGACTGAAAATCCGGATGTTGTTCACGCTTTGTTCTGGAGTGCAGTGCAGTAGATCTCCACACTGGTTTTAGGTTAATGAACACCTGTCTTGCTGTCTTTCCGATGCTGGCTGCTTTGACATCCTCGTCTGTGCGTGCGCCACCTGTAGTTGAAACGATGCTGCCTAGGTGGTGGGTGAAAGAGGCTACTTCATTTAAGTTTCTCCCGTTGATGATGATTGGAGCTTGTTGTCGTTGTTGTTGTTGGTTGGTTGTTTGGTTGGTTGGTTAGTTGGTTGGGTATCTTCATCACCTCTGTCTTCAATATATTCACTTGAAGTCCCGTCTTCGCTGCCTCGCTTCTCCTGCCAACATGTTAGTTTTCGCCTGTAGATCTTCGAGTCTGTGAGACAATAGACAAATGTTATCGGCGGAATCTAAATATTCTAAGTTGTTTTCCCTGGTCCAGCGTATCCCCCTCTTCTCGCTCCTCACGGTTCGCTGCATGATCTAGTCTGCCACAATTAGGAAGACCATGGGTGATAGTAGGCTGCAACCTTGTCTTACTCCTTCCTGTCTTCACTTCACTTTAAAGCATCACTGAGCTGAGCTTCCCATTGTGAATTACTTGGCATGTGGCGTCTTCATATAGTTGTTGAATGAGATTGATAAGGGTCTGTGACACTGAAACCGTAGTGTTGAAGCAGCTGCCTGCCAAATTACTTCTTGGTCGACGCTGTCAAAGGCCTTTTCAAAGTTGACGAAGTTGAGGTGGAGTTGAGTTGACTGCCATTTTATACTCTGTTCTATGATGATGCGGAGCGTAGCGTTGCAGTTTGATTGGCATATGATTTGTTTTTCCTGAGGCCAGTCAGCCAACCAGTCTGTTTCGGT